TGGTAGTGAATGTGTGACTTGGTCCAGCGGGACCTGTTTGTAGCATAGTTTTCTATAATTACCCAAAATTTACACAGCAATTCCAGGCCTATTATATGGGGCATAGTATGTAATTACAGGCATAACATATTAGGTCCTAATAACAGCAAATATATCATTACACAAATCATTCATGTAACTGTGCTGATATTTTTATATGGAGTAAGTGAATACAATTACTAATAATTGCCATACACATCTTACAGCTGCAGTGTAACTGGTGCCACTACAACACAGAGCAGGGCAGCAGCTGGGAAGCTCCCGAGGAAATGCCTGTGAAACATTGCATCTGAAAGCCAAGGTGAATTTGGATGCAGATGTGTGTATATGCAGTTAATATGACAATCTGGGAGGGATCCACGTTGTCTTGCTTAGATTTTGTGTCTCCTAGTCATGCGTGTGAGAAGGTTCTCCATACCTGTAGAGTTTATGGGGATCCTCCAGGAGGTATAGGTGGTCCTCCAGGCTGTAGACAAAGAGAGTGAATCCTACAAAAGCAGCAGCAAGCAAAGTTGGGCCATCAGGTCACCAAAGAGAGGTGAGGGTCTCAGATTGGGTATTAGGAAAAATTACCTCTAAGGAGGAGTGGTGATGCATTGGAACAGGCTGCCCAGGGAGGTGGTGGAGTCACCATCCCTGGAGGTGTTTAAGAAAAGGGTAGATGTAGCACTGAGGGACCACTAACCATGGTTTGTGGGTATGGTGGGGATGGACTGGGGCAGGACTACATGCTCTTAGTGGTTTTTTCCAACCTTTTAGAATTCTGTGATTCACTGAGGAAGTCATGCATCCCACTTTTCATTTTCAAAGAGCTAGTCTTGATCCACTCTGTGTAACAGAAGTGCTTTGAGCCTGTAGGGAAACTGTTAGTGCTGGCATCTGTCAGGCAGCACCCATGTGCTGTCAGTTAATGACACAGATGTTTTATGTGGCTAATTGTGAGTCTCTGCATGCAGGTTTATAGGAGATTTGGGTTGATGCGTATGGCTTTATAGAGGAATTGGGCTGATGCACACAAGTTAGGGGAGTGATTTAGGCACGGCCATCCTGGCACCCTGATGTGCATCATTTCAACCCTTGGCAAGGAGGGCAGCTTGGTGGAGGACAGATGCAATGGAGAGTTTGTTTCTCCGTGCCAGTATTTCAACAAGCTCAAGTGATGACTTCTGTTTCAAAAGCTTCCTATTCATATCCACTGAATGGTTTAGACTGAAATCTTTTTTCTTCACTGATGGGTTAGCTTCCTTTCTGGCTCTGTCTGCAACAGGCCATCAGCTCCTTTGATAACTAAGCTGGATTTGGAATGCTGAAACCCCATTTTGCACACTATCCAAGCCAATGGGAATTTTGTTCACCTCTCCAGATTATCTCAGAGGAATGATAGGTTCCATAGGCTGGAGTCTGCCCTAAGGCACGCTAAAGGACATGTGTGTAGGAGCCAGACTGTGGTGCTTGAGAATTATTGTGTAAAAGCTGTGCAGAAAAGCAGGGGATATTAATTCAGGTACCACTCTGCAGTTACCAGCAGGATCTGGCTTGCATTTCACCAGCTTAGCTTGGGCAGAGCTCTCCATGTCACCTTCCTGCCATCCCATTTCAGCATGGAAATACCCCAGTATGAGCAGAGACAATGAACTTGGGATATGGGGGCCAGCTCCAGCCTACCAAAGCAATTTTACCTCATTGTGGAAGCGCAGATAGGTCAACCTGGTCATGTATTGTTGAGCAGGTGCCCAGGTGAGTCCAGTGGGCTCTTGCTGAGTCTGGTGAGGTGTGATGTGGTTGTGTTAGTGGCGTTCCTCCACACTTGGTCATGTTCCCACACACCTGAGATTACACTGATAATGCCAGTGTTGATACAGCATTGTGAACAAAGAAAAACTCTATTAGAAATTGTGTGAAAGAGCTACTTCCATCAAAAAGGGTTAGCATGAGTTTGCATCAGGATGAGGCCAAAATGATGACACCAACACACAAATGAGCAGAGATGGAGCCACTTCATGTGCAATTATGGTGGCCAGAGCTTCCAGTTGGGTAGACGTAATCTCTCTGGGCCCATCCCATCTTGATTTTTGCCAGGACTTGGACTGGTTGTGGTGGTCCCATGTTCCTGTGGAGACAAAAGCAGTGTGCCTGTTCTGATGGCTGTTGGTGTAATCTCACCATCTGTGAACAACAGGAAACCCTTGAATTAAAGAAGGAGATAGCATCACAGGGCAAGCAGGCAGTGACTGCAATACCTTGAACAAACTTAGTGGGGTGATGGTGGTGGTGCTGTAAGATGTTCCTCAGCTTGATTCACACTGTTGGTGTCTCCTTGGCCCTTCACCCATTACAGCTGCCATCCAAGGCAGCAAATGTGGCATCAGCATCGATGAAGTGTCTTGTGTTATGTCTGGGTTACGTTACTGGCTTGGAGGATGATTTATGGTTTAATATGGTATTCAGGATTCACGTCATGTGCTGGACATCACGAGACATTGGCAGAGCTGACCCTCCAGCTTCACCTGTGCATCCCAAGTTGGGAGCCAAGGCTTGGATTCTGCTGATCCCACTAGTTGAGGCAGAAGGGTGACAGCACAGAGGGTTTTGCTTTTACAGCATGCTAACAAACATAATCACCATACTATCAGGAGTGTGACTGCCCACTGTGTTTGCTGGGGAGGAGTGAGGCAAGGTCAGCTCTGTACCTTGGTTGACCCTGGCCAGGACAGCCAAGTGTCAACTCCACCACAGGTTTCAAGGAAAGCACTAACATGTTTACTAGCCTTTGATAAAAATTTACCCTTTTTATTGTCAGAGTTGGTTGTTGGAGCTGGCCTGGGACACACAGAGCAGTGTTATGAATCACCACTGCCATTCCCCATGCCTTGTCTCACCTCCCATTGGACCCCGAAGAAAAAGTCACACATCCTTTTGTAGAACATTGCTCCTTTTCTTTAACTGCATCTTTAACTTCTAGAGACTTTCTTCCTGCATTTACTGGAGGGGAATGGGTAGGGTGGCAATAGCAGGGAATATTTTAGGGAAGTGAATTTGGGAATTCTAAATGAGCAGCTGGGTCCCAAGGGTTAATGTTTCCCTAAGGAAGAGGACAAACAATATTGCATGACCTAAGACCCCAATTGCAGCTTGACGGTGCTGTCCAGCCTGTGACGTATTTGCAGCCAATTTCTTATCTATCAACAGGAACTAAAAGGGGGGGGGGACAAGCAAATAAATAAGATCAGTGGTATTGTATCACTGGCTGTCCCTGCAGACCTTGCTGTACTGATAATCATTAACTCTCCCAAACTGAGAACCACTGCAGAGCTCAGGAGTAAAATATGGTATTTCTCATATATAGGAAAAAAAAAAAAAAAAAAAAAAAAAAAAGAGTGCATATTTGATGCTGCTCAGAGAGAGAAATGCCTGCAGTGTTTCCATAGCCCTTGGCCTTGTGGCACAGCCTGTATGTGCTATGCAGAAAATGACCCTAAAAGGATGCATATAACGTACATAATGAAAGAGAGGGTTTAAACCGTGCTTTAAGAAAGAAATACAAACGTCAATCTAAAAATGTATTTATTGGGCTGCTAATAATGAACAGCGGTGAGGGTGGGGGGTGATAAGTAGTATAATGAAAACCTCAGGGTCTGGACACCGTTATCCCCTGTGTGCCCAGAACTCACACAGAACAAATCTCAAGCATCCTCTGCAGGACCTCTCTTTCCTGCCTCAGCCAGGAGACGTGGCAGAGACCCTCCCCAGACCCACAGACACTGACCATGCAAGCTCAGGTTTTGCATGCTCAGCGCTCCCCTGTGCTTTAAAAGGAAAATAAACTGGCAGCCAGTGAGGAGTTCAACACTGGCGTCAATGCTGGGTGGAGGATGTGGTGAATGGAGAATTTCCTCCCTGCTGATGCAGATCCTACAGATGCTCGATGGGACACCTTGGTGCCAGTCCCAGCCCTCCCAGTTCCCGGCCAGCTTCAGACACCCAGGAACCTGATTTATGCTGCTGTAACTGGGATTTGAACTGGGCCTTTCAAATATAACCTTTCCCCTTACTTGAAACAAAATATGTCAATCTCCTGAGCTTGGAAACCCATATTCTTGAACACAGAGCTCTGTCCCCCATCATTAGCACACGAACTGCATTACCTATAAAGTCTGCTTACTCCAAGCAAATGTTTCTCCATTTTTTCTTTCTTTTTACTTCAATTTGAAGTGAAAGGTACAGTATAGGATTCAAATGCCTTTGCATTACACGGGTTTTTGACCACTCGAAAACCCCATGAAAATGACCTCACAAAACTGAAACGCTTGCAGAACTGTGTTGCGGCGTTCCGCTCCGCCTAGCTGAACTTCCCTCTGATTTTCTTTTATTGCTTCACATGGCGCTTAGCTTCTACTTAATTTTTTTTTTCTTTATTAAAAAAAACAAAAACAAAAACAAAAACCCAACACCATAGATCCTGCTTAAGCTCTCTCTACACGTCAGTATCCCTACCCTGTGGATGTCGCAGGAACGTCAGGAATTGGCCAAAGAGGTGGAACTATGGAGCAGCTCCAAGGAAGAAGACAACGTGGTGGTTCATCACCCGGTGCCGTGTCCCCACTCATTGCCACACCAAAGGCTGGTGGCAGGGCTGCGGGATGGGAGAGCTAAGAGGGACCTCGCAGAAGGATTCCGAAATTCAGATCTGTCCCTGACAGCTGCTGGCCCACTTGCTGCAATCTGAACGGTGTCTCTGACTTCTCTTTGGCTCAAGGATTTAACATTAAGGCAAAAATAAGACACAGTGTAGAAGCTCCATCAAATCTTTGGCACAACAGCAACAACGGCAACAACAAAAAATGACTGTACACATGAGCTGAGAGGGGAACATTTCCCAGTTAAGCAAAGGGAAAAGTGCTAAATAAATTGCACGTACTAAAAGGTGGCTGGCTTAAAAACAATAAGAAGCATCCTTGTCCTTTTTTTTTTTTTCCTTTCTGTTCCAGAGACTGAGAAAGTTCCTTGGCCAATCATCATCTTGAAAAGGGGCTTCTGCAAAAAAGCTGCTCGCAGTCTTCATCTGGATTGTGCAACCTTTGCCAAGAACAGATGTAACTGGCTGGAAGCTCTTCTGAATCCTCCCTTCCCTGTTATTACTCCTGGAAAGAGAAAGATGCAGCATCAGAACTGTGAACATGTGCTGTTCTGGTGGCTCCTCACACAAATGGCCTTTGTTGGGGTTTCCTTGGGACCATCAACCCACAGTGAGAGTGTTCTGGAGTTTGGCTTGTAGAGCATCGACAGCTAGGTGGGCAGAGTCCCTAGGGTGCTGGAAGAGAGAGTGGGAACAAGGAAAGTTTGGGAAGGAAAAGTAACAAAATGAGACACATTGGCAAAAACCTGCTTTGGAAAAGACCTCTGGATCCATTTTCAGAATCAGAAGTCAATCTCAGAATTACAAAAGGGAAGCAAACGAGCTGGTGTGGCCCAGACCTGTGGGGCTTATTTTGCTATTGTGGTTATCGCATTTATTTCCACAGACACAGCTCCTCAGTCCACAGGAGAGGCAGAGGCAGGTGTATGTAAGTAACTGGTACAGGTTTACTGCTGCCATCGTAAAATGCACAACTTCAATGCGCAGCACTTTGAGACAGGAAAAAATCTCATTTAAACCCTCTCTGACATTAAAATAAGCCCTGTGAATATCCCACAAACAATCGTTAGCATACTTCAAAACACAGTAAAATCCTTTGGGCTCGCTCTTTCATGAGGTCACATCGCAGTTGGCCAAACTGCCTTCATCACGTGGGCTCCTAAATCCTCCTTTAAGTAACTCAGGAATTTAGAAACTTGGAAATTGGATCCCATTTTCTGAGTCCAACCACCGTTTCTTGCTTTTTGCCAGTGGACTTCAGAGCTTTGCAGGGTGCAGTGCAGCCCCTGACGGTCCTTTGGACACGGTCATCAATTCTCCAGACAGACCAGGCGTCTTGATGACAGTCTAAAAAGGTCAAACTCCTCAAAGATTGAACCAAAAAACATTCTTTCTCAGATCCATTTGTTGCTGTACTCTCTCCCCTTTTCTATTACTGGATTTTGTAATGTTAAGGTACAAAGTGCCAGGACTCGGTAGGTCAGACTGGTGGTTGGACTTGGTGATCTTGAAGGTCTTTGCCAACCTAGATGGTGATATGGTTCTGTAATTCTCTGAAAGTATTATGACACTGATGTTCTACTTTCTTATTACTATAATTAGGGCTGCTGCCTGTGAGATGACCCATCCCAGGTGAGCATCCACACTGGGCTAAGGGGATGGGGATACAAGAGCCTCACTGCAAACCCTTCCTGCACCAGGCTTGCCCTTCTGATTGGCACACAACAAATAAAAAAATGGAGCTCATTATGCAATTATTATCAATGACTTGTTGTCTCTTCTGACTAACACACTATCTAGTGCTGCTCTGGGCAGGAGAAACAACCATCCTAATTAGCTGGGACTCAGGATTTTGAATAAATGGGGATTGGGTGAGAGAATGACAAACAGTCTTGTTTATCACAAATGTTTCTGATAGGAAATGCCTAAAATGATTTTCCAACAATGAATTAAGATTATTAATAACCTGTAATAGAAATGAGGGTTATTTAATTTTTGTCACATGAAGAAAAAGGAGAGGAATAAAAGAAGAGGGGAAATGAAGAAAAAGAAGGGAAGTATTGAATGCTCTCCTTAAGGTCAGGGCCTTGGGCAGCCTGATCTAGTGTGTGGCAACCCTGCCTACAGCAGATAGGTTGGAACTGGATGATCTTTAATGCTCCTTCCAACCCAATCCATTCTATGATTCTATGATTAATATTAAAAGATGGTAGAGAGATGTATCCCGTTGCTGTCTGGAACAACAGTCCTAGAGAGCAAATCCCTTCCCCTGTAGGAGCAGTTTCACTCTTTCCCAAAGCCATCCAAGTCAGAGGGACTCCAGTCCTCCTCTCATGTCCTGGGGGCTCTTGAAAATCCTGAATAAATAGCACCTGACACTGCAGTTGGGAAAAAAGGGGGAAGTAAGAAAATGGAGAGAGCAAAGGAGGGTCAAAGTACAGCAGCTTTGGGAAGAAAGATGTGGAAAGGAGGGTGGACGGAGGGAGAGAGGAAAGAAGGAAGTCATGGAGGGAGGAAGGAATAGACAGATGGAAGGATGGATGGAGGGAGTTATGGAGGGAAAGATGAAAAAATGGACGGAGGGAATGAGAGATGGATGGATGGTGAATGGAGGGATCGCAGAAGTAATGGAGAGAGGGAGGGATGGATGGTAGGAGAGAAAGTAGGAGGGATGGAGGGATGAAGGGAGGGAGGGAGAAATGGAGGGATGGATAAAGGGAAAGAGGAATGGGTGGAGGGAGCCCTGGGAGGCAGTGGAGAAGCTCAGCAGAAGTGCTTGGTCCCAGGGGCTCATGGGGAGATGCTAGGTGGGAAGGGGCTCTGCCTCTCCCCGACCTGCTCCCATCCAGCCAGCAGCTCAGAAGACAGATTTATTGAACAGAGTCTGCTTTAAACTAATAATCACAACTCCCTTGGCTCTTGAATTTGACAACTGGCCCAATGACCTTGGTGAGTTTGCAGCATCCCAGAGCATTTCAATCTCTATAAATCAAAGCACTGTTGGAATGGAGTCAACCTTTGTTCCAGGGCTTCTCCTATCTCCTCGAGTCACATACTCCTTTTGCTGAAGTTACCTGATAGCTGTGGGGTGGATCTCCCCCTGCCCATGCTAATAACTGGAGTAGAGGGAAACCTCTTGTTTTTTCTGCTCAAGAAAATCCTCAGCCTCACCCCTCTGCTCATTCACGTTTGCTGTTTGGGTCACTGAGGTGCAGGGGCATCTCAAAACATGAGCTATAAACACAGGGCAGGGAAAACTCACAGGGCATCCAGCTTCCCCAGGGACCCTGCTGTCCTGCGGCTGCAGACAGGCAGATGGACGGGAAGGGTCACTGCTCTCCTGTGGCCCAGCTCTTCCCCAGGGAAGCAGCCTGGCTGCCTGCCTGCCTGCAAGTGCGAGCAGGGAGAGGGAGCTATTTTTAAAGAGGAACCTCTGCTTGATTAGACTGCAGAGAAAGGGAGCTCCAACCTCATTACCAGACTCCCCCAGAGCACAGGACGGGAATCCACAGGGAAGAAATGCCGTGCAGATCACCCGAACACGATGCGGTAACACCATCTGATATCGCTATCAGGTGATCGACTGCCACCACCACCGGGTGAGCAAACCAAGCTGGGAGCTGTGCCTCCAGCTCAGGGCTCCATGTAAATAAATCATGGATCCTGATGCAGGGTTATAGAAAAAATATGCTTCGAGCAAACAGAAATGCCATACAAATTAAGCCTGACGCTACCATTTCTCTTTTACAACCCCACTCCCAGAGAGTAAATGTGCTGCAGAATGTGGGAATAAACCTCACCTACAGCAGGAAATCTGCTTTTAGGCAAGCAGCAATGGGGCAGCACCAAGGCATGGCAGAACACCACAATAACTATTTTATATAATGCAATAATTACATACATAACGTGAGCAATTTTGGTGCAACAGACGGCAACAAATGGAACAGCGTTTCATGCCGTGGGTGCTCCTCTATCATTTAATTATCAGGGAACATATATATAGCTCATCTTTAATTTTAATTCCTTGTGTCTGTGTGCATCCACACACATATGCAGACCCCGGGACTCAAAAACCCAAGAAACTAAATTCCAGCAGAAAACTTTTATTGAGCTCCAACTGCTCGCCTGTTATTCATAACCCAGTTTCCTCTCTCACAAAGAGACCTTTCGCATGGTTTTCTCTTTTTTTTTTTTTTTTTTTTTTCCTTCTGCCTCGCTAACAGCTGCTCGCAGTGTTGTATCCTGAGTGATGATGAGGTTCTGAAAGTGTTTTTTTGGAACAGATGGCCAGGAGAGAGCCGGGGAATGTGCCAGCAGCAAGCTGGGGAATGCGCCAAGTCCTGCAGTGACTGAGTACTCCGGGTTCCAGCTCGCGTGCCTTTCCCCTGCCCTCTGCCCCAAGTGGCGCCAGCAGGACTTCCCAGCTCGCGCTCCGAACATCTGGAGTCTGCGACTGCCAGAAGAGACGGGGAGGAGAGGGGGGGGAAGCCAAAAAAAAATATAACACAACCACCCAACCCAACCGCCCAGCCCTCCCTCCCGGCTCCGGCGCGGCTCCCATGCTGCTGCTGAGCAGAGCAACCGGTGGGAAGCAAAGAGGGGAGGTTTTTGGGGGGTGAAATACACACGCGCACACACACACACACACACACACATACATACATACATACATACATATATATATATATTTTTTTTAGGAGTTTTCTGGTTGTTATGGGGTTGTTATGGTGTTAGGGCTGCTTAGCATACAGTGTTTTGTGATGAGCAAAAAGCTGTTTTGTGCTGCCTGGAGAATGGGTGGGAGCTGCCCTGCAGACATGGGGAGCACTGCTCTGTACCCAAACCCTCCCAGACCCCTTAATACAGCCATTCTGCAGAGCATATGGATCATGTAATCACAGAATCATTAAGGTCGGAAAGACCACTATGATCATCTAGTCCAGCCATCAACCCATTCCCGTAAATACTCTAGACAATGTTCCTCTGTGCCACATCTATACTTTTCATGAATACTTTGAATACTTCCAGGGATGGTGACTCCACCACCTCCCTGAGCAGCCTGTTCCAATGCCTCACCTGGAGCATAGAGCTGTGAGAAGTAGCTCGCAGCAAGACCCAAAGCCCCACAGAAACCAACTGAGGCTTTTGAGGGACTCCTGGCCACCAGCAACATGTCCCCAGCTCTTTGCTGGCACCTCAGATCCAAGCAAAGCTCCAAAAGGATCCAGAGCTCAGCTGGGATGTCACAGTCAAAATCTCCATCACGCTGAATCACAGAATCATTAAGATTGGAAAAAGACCTCTAAGATCACCAAATTCAATCACCCATCCCTACCATGCCCACTAATTCATGTTCCTCAGTGCCACATCTCCACATATTTCGGACACTTCCAGGGATGATGACTCCAACACTGCGACTCATGCACACACTGTGAAGGGCATAACTCAGTGCAGAGCCCTTTTATAATCAGCCAAAGGCCAGCTTTCAAAAATGAACTTTATTGTAACTTGCCACCTCCCCATGAAGCTTATTTTTTTTTAGAAAAAGGCATTTGTAGGCCTTCAGTTACCCCTTTGGCTGCTTACAAATGAGATCTCCAATCACCAAACACCCTTGGTTAAATCTCAGTTGCAATGACTTAAATCACTCTATAACAGCAGTTAAGACTGGAAAGGGGAATTTTTTTCTTAGCTAAAATAGCTGGAGAGGCTAAAGCCAACTTTTCTAATTAACACAATGGAGTGGAAGGAGGGAAAAAAACCACCTATTAAATTTCCTATTGCAACAACAAAGTCTGCACAACAACCTAACATTAGGGACAGCAGATAATTCACCTTCAAAAACAAAGCACAAAGCAATGCAGAATCCAGCAAATGCAACATCTGGAGCCCCCGCTTGCCAAAACAAACTCCCATCAGCTACTTTTCTGTGTGAGATGCTCACGGTGCCACAGCATGCTGCAATCTGCCAGGGAACTCAAGAGATAGGGGCAGGAAGAGACTCAATAAAATGGAGATGATAGCAGATAAGGGCGCAGCACAGTGCGAATACCAGAGGTCTGCACTTGGGGCTTGCTGTGGCTTTTTTTAAAGAAAGAACAAAAAGAGAAAAGCAACAACAAAAATCCACCCTGAAGTCTGTAACTCAGAGGAACTGCTCAGCAAGCAGTGGTTAGCGAGACCTGATTAAAACCACGCTCGGCACAGAAAACGTGCCGATTTCAGAATTAATGAGCACGCGGTGATTTTGGGCCAAGCCATTGTATCCTCCTCCAGCTGCCTGTGCGAGACCCCCCAGGAGAGACATCCTTCCACACCACCTGACATCCAGAGCTCCCATCTTTTCCGCTCGGCTATCCCAGATTTACTGCTCCGCTCTGACAACAGTCTTCCCCCACCTTGTGCAATGCCATCCATGGCTTGGCTTGAAGACAAAGGGACACACCATGATAGGGTGACCACCTCAATCCTGTCTCTGCATTTCCTGTCTTCATGTTTCCTGGCTATTGGGATTTGCTGACTCCTTGAGGTTCCTCAGTGAACCCCATTAGTTTTGGCTCCATCTTCAACTGAACGTGCTCTGGCCATCACACAAGCTTAAAATGATTCCTATCAGCAAGGGCAACCCAGAGGCTCTTGGGTTGCCCAGAAAATCCTCAATGCAGACTTTCCAATATGACTGGAACTGCATTTGCAAGATAATTTCTAGAAAGAAAAGTAAGGTAGAATATGGACCAGGATCCTGCTGTTAGGGCAAAACTTGGCTTTCGAAGGTATTTGGAGGGGGGTGAGAATGGGTGTCCTCAGAGGATATGAAGCAAAGGCAGATTTTCTCCGAGTTATGCTGTTTCTGAGACTGGTGATGGTCTGTGTGAAGGGGGGATGGCCAATGGCCAATGTCCTGTGAGAGTTTCATTGTACATGTGCTCTCAATAGAATCACGGCTTTTCTCTGTACATGCGCTTTGGAGCAAAAGCCATAAATGGAAAATTTTTAATTCTTAATTTATTTTTTCAATTAAGAGTGGGCATAGCCCTAACCCTCATATGTGAACAGTCTCGGATATGGAGCCACTTGAAATCTGGCTCCAAATTTTCTGTCTTGAAGCTTATGTTGGTTTACATAAGCCAAGACAATGAGACTTAGTCCATCAGGCACCAAAAGCCTCAATGCCAGCCCAGTGAATTGCCCAGCTGCCATAATGGATGTTCTATTTTGACCAACGGCTTCCTCCATTTTGACCCTGGGAGGTTGATCAGCCCTAGGACTCCACTCCCATCTCCTGCCCAAGGGCTGGTGGCACTGCAGCAGTATCCCTGGGCCACCAGCACCCATTTCCCTGCAGTAAATCCTCAATTTCAGGCTGTCCCCATACGCAACTCCTGTACCTCCTTGGCCATACCTTGGTGTGCACATCTCACCTGGCACTACAGCTCTGGGGGTCAAAAATATGGCCTCAGGAAGTGACAGAGAGCATACTATTGTGTTTATTTATAACCCAAACTTCTGAAGGATGATTTGTTGGGCTGAAAAAGAGGAAAACCAGGGAAACCTGCCCGAATCAGAGGCAGACCTTAACGACACCGGGAAGGAGCCTGCTCCCCAGCTTAGCTGTCCATTCATCCATTAAAGTCCCGCTGATTTATTATCCTGCATGACAAGCGAGCCCAGAAAGCAGGGGGAAGTTCAATTCAAGTTTACAAAACTCTTTTTGTCATAAAAGCCCGAACAAAGACATCAATCACTCCTTTAATTTACCCATGTCACTTTCCAAGAGGAAAACTGGCCGAGCGCTCTGCTTCCTCCTACCACAGCTTGATGATGATTTCACCTAATTGGTTCAGCGTTAAGTAACCTAAAGGAATGTGATGCGTAATTAGATTCAGCGTTGTTTCCTCAAGATACCCGCATGTCCTTCAGGTCATACATCTTCCTAATATATTTATACGTACAACATCTCCATTAGCTACTTTTTTTTGGTTGTTGTCAGGCGATTTTCACAGAGATAAGTGTTAGATTAAACAAAGCAGAAATCACAGCCGGCCAGCCGCATTCTGGGCTCTCCAAAATGCTGGTTGCTTTTAACCAGCAACAGCCACAAGACAACGCTAATAGGATCATGTTGTGTTAAAACACGAGGGGGGGACTAACGAGAGGAAGAGCCTGGCGAGGAGAGCAAAGCTTTTGATTAGCGAGGAATGTGGTTATTACAGGATCAGACAGAAAAAGCAAAGAGCCGAGAAGTGGGAGAAAGACGAGGAGTAAAGAATCAGGAAAAATTCAAGAGGTTGAGAAAGGAAGGAAACGGCTTCAGATTTATTTTTTTCCCCCCTCTTTTGTAACTTTTACCGTTATTTGGGGGGGTGAAGGAGACTGTAACATACCTTCCTTTTTTTAGATCTTCCTTCTGCTTGTAAGGTCCTAGTGCACTGCTCCACGCATTCAGAGAAGCTCATGTTACTGTGGTCAGCGCTGTAATCCAGGTCTGCTAGTCTGGCCAGGGAAAGGATATAGTTACAGGCTATTCTCAAGATGGCCAGTTTGGACAACTTTTGACCATAAGAATAGCAGGGAACCTAGAAAGGGTAACAGGGAAAGAAAAAAAAATTAGGCCAGAAAAACAAAATATCTCGCTCGAAGCATGACAAAACAATTGTAGGTTATTTTCTTAGCGGTTTTTAACACAAATAGGAACTCTGTGATAAAAGGCCATATGGTCCCAACAGGTTTTGCAGAAGAACTCCCCTGCTGATCTCCGCGGGAATGAAGCAGCATGAGACCTCTCGATTTCAGCAGGGCAGTTCTGCTCGAAGTGTGATGGCAGGACATGGGATGCCTGCCTGCCGCTCAGTTGGCTTCTCAGAGAGGCCAGACCCTGTTTTTCTTGGAAAACCCAACCCCCTGTTGCCAGCCCCTTCAGTGACTCGCCCCGAGCATCCTTCTCCCTGCCAGCGGCTGCAAAGCCATCGCAGCCTTGTGCAGTAAGGGAGCAATGCTGGCAGAGGTGACATGAGCTCAAACAGCATCACTCACAGCTTCCAAATCTGCTCTGAAATTCCAACCCACTGCCCCATGCTGAGCACCAAAGCGCCCATCACTCTGCCTCTCAGGAAGGCATTATCTGATGTAAGTTATTTCTTTACCCTTGAAGATTTCTAGTGTAACGTGAAACATGCAAACGATTCAAACTAAGCAGCACGTGTCCAAATAAATGCATGGGGTACAGAAGGTTGGACTGCTTTCATATCGCCATCCAGCAAAACACTACATGTGAGCTCAATTTTGGGCACGCAGCTTTGCTATGTCCAGCTTAAAGAGAAAATCCGCTGACTTCAAATAGGCTTGGGGCCCCGTCCGCTACTTTGCAAAATTGCTAAAGGTCATTCAGCCCTTAATGCACAAGAATCTATTGCCTATGGGAAACTGGAGCCGGGCGTTTATCTGAAATCCATCCTCACTGCTCAGGCTGTCTGAGCGCCTGTCAATCTAAGTTTTCATGCAACATCAATCACTGCAATGGCCGAACGTCCCTCAACCATCTGCCTCCATACCAGCCTCCATCCTCCTCATCCCTCTAGGGTATCATGATCTGCTTATGGTTGGAGATTTTAAAGCTTCTTGCCATGCTCGTGCCTGAGCTTCTCTTTTTTCCATCGACACGAAGCCAGGCTCACCCCCAGCTTTACATAAGGTAAGAGGGGTTAAAAGGGGTTCTGCTTCTCTGCTAACCCCATAGCAGCTGCATGCGGATATCAATGGAAGAGCAGAACAGCTCAGAAATATATAGTATTTCCCCAAGTATTCTGCCAGGCTCCATTAAATGCCAGCTCCACGAACCCAGATAGATGTGCTTCCTCGGTATTAGCAACCTACAATAGATCTTTTTGTTCATTAATTTGGCACAGTAAGTTGAAACCCTGGCAATAGTAGCGCCCACAACATGCTTTTGCAGTTCCCTCCTCCTTCTCAACACCACAGCCCTCCTTTTGCTTGTTTTGAAGCTGGCTCCCACTGTCCTCACTTCAGGTCCCCCGGTTCTTGAGATGAGGGAGCAACAGATTCATCTCTGTATTTTCAGTCCTCCATCATCTACGGTTGGACTAGATGATCTCAGTGGTTTTTTCCAACCTTAATGATTCTATGATCTACTTCTTTTCTCTCATCTGACTGCTGTATTGCAGCCATCCTGCACCTCTGAGCACTGCTGTTGCCCTTCCCTGAACCCATCCTTACCCCAGTGTGTCCTAAGGGTGCAGGGAGAAGCAGAACCACGTGAAGTATTCATACTGTAGATGCTCTCTGAGTTTATCTAGCTGATGCTGATGCTCTCTGCTTCACCTATTTTTTTCTAATCACTCCTGATTTGATTTATGGCCACTACTGGGCACAGATCTGAGATTTTCATCTACAGAAACTCTAAGACCTCCTTTCTCTGAGATTATGGTCAGTTCAGTGTCTAACATTTTGTAAGTGTAATCTGGTACGGTTTTCCCATGTGCATTGCTTTACATCTACATTCTACCTCTTCTTAGTAGAAGAAGCTTACTTTCCAGCTTGGTTTTGTCAGATGCTTCAAAGGAGGAGCTCTACCATGGAAATTCAGACCAACAGCATCTCAGCTAGACCACCCTTATCCACGAGCACATGGATTTTAATGGAAGAACACTGTTGACCCCATAGGCCATTTGGCTTGCACGATATATCTGAGGTGCCAGCGGCATCTGACCTCTCCAGAAGCAAGCCAACAAGCTTCAAAGGGCCTTTTTCTCTATGTATCATCTGCTACTGATACCCTTGTGGGGGCTGGGGATCTATTTATTCTCTGGGAATACCCAGTGGGACCACTGCTTTGACCTCCACTGGCATTTCCACAGTGCTGCTATCACCAATGCAAAAAGGAACATACCATCCACCTTCAGATGGCAATACCTGGCCCCCAGACGCAGTGAGCTGAGTTATTTTGGAAGTAGAGCTCTGGGCAACAGAAACACCCAACTGTCTTTCGACACTGATGTCACAAGAACAGTGGAGATCCCAGATCAAACTGCAGCACACAAGACCAAAGCAAGACGGAAACCAAAATGGAAAGAGTCAGTGAAATGTGGGAGTAAGTTCAGAATTGGAGAAAGAAGTTAAATCTAGTGGAAGGAAAAGCGACCACGAAATCCTTGAGGCTGATGCACAGACACTGTCCAGTTGTAGCACAAGAAGACAGGCAAATGTCTATTTTCCTCATCTGTTTTGCTCTCCTTCTTTTGTGTGTTGTTTGTTATTTATTTGTTTATTTATTTATTTAAAGGAACAAAATAAAACCCAAACTGTTTTTTTTTCTGGGGCAGGCCTGCTACAAATTCCAAGAAAGATCTCAGTGTCAGCAGAGTTGACCAAACCCTCGCCTGGCGTTACACAACGCTTCTACACCATGCAGCAAAGTCCAAACTGGAGCTGCCCTGTACGTACACAGGAAGAATTTCACCTCGTGCAGCTCAGATACCACTGTGATGGGTGCGGGGCACCAATGGTAGGAGATAAGAGTTTTTGCTATGGTAACAGTGTTAGAATAACTGTTTCGTATGGACCCTCCCTGTCTTGGCTCGGCTCCTGCCATTTTAATGTTTCCTTTTGAATTAAACATGGGAAATTGAGCCACTTAATTCAGATCCAGATCTAAAGCTTCCCCAAGCAGTGGGGGGGGGAAGAAAGGGAAGTTTGGTTTCAGCACTTCTTTAGCACAGAGCCAGCAGCAAGGAGAGGAGGGATCTGCCCAGATTGAATGAAGGATGTCAATAACACACCTGGATGCCAAGAAAATTCAAAATTCAACCCAAAATGGAGTATCTTAGACATTGGAAAAACACTCTATGCCAGCAGAGCCACATGGTGCTGAAGACCTGTGTTGCACACTGATCTGTAGTAGGAAGCTACATGACAAGGTGTGTGCCCTGCTCCAGGTAAACTCCAAGCCCTCCTTTCAACACCCTCTCTTGCTCATCACATCTGAACCCAGCAGGGAGAGCTGTGAAGGTCTGCTCAGAGCTCAAGTAGCTATGCATATTCCTTATCTGACCCCATTGATTTCTGCGCAGCTCACCATCTTGCCTGCATTATTTGCAATGATTTAAAGGAAACAGAAAGGAACTGCAACTGAAATTTCACACTGATCTGAAGGAATGCAGCAGAAAGTAGTGGGCTGTGACCAGAAGATGCTTGCTGATCATGGTTGTGGGCTTTTGGGGTCTTATCAGTTACCCTCAGGGTGAAGAAAGGCAAGATGCATGCTCTTGAGACATGTTACTGTGCAGAAGAGCTCTGTTTTGGCAGGAAGACAGAATAGGATGTGACATAACAGGTCCCTTCCATCCCTGACGTCTGTAATCAGAGGCGGTGTCCTTGGAAGATGCTCCCTTTGAAGTTGATGGGATGTCTGCCAGGCACTTCACCAGCATCCACCACAGTCGTGATCTCGGAGTGCATTCTCACCCAGGTCCCAGCACAGGTGACCAGGGATACTCACAACAATGGGGCTGTGGGGAAAACTGGGATTATCCCAGGGACTTGAGCAGCATTAAGGCAGTTCACACTGCTGAGCATCTGGCTGGATTGTGCTGTCGCTATGGAGAAGAGCATGGTATAATTTATATAACAGATAAGGTCTTTAAAGTCAAGTCCTCTCTGGCTTTGCATTGCATTCCCCCAAAGAAAGGAAGACATTGAGCCCTGGGGGTCCAGACCTCCTTGTTATTATAACATAAGTGCAACTTAGCACTATGGATTTGCACAGACCCCCTCCATATGAAGGTCATATATTTGGCCCCTTGGCTACAGCAGGAAAGCTGGGGAAGCAGAGAAACACCTGTGTCTATAGCATAGCATCAGCTAAGGCCTCCTGACAGCTGGCTCCTTCACACCATGCCATAAGTTGTGGCATTTACCTGTCTCGCAATTCATCTTGTTTATTTTTATGCTGGGAGCTAAACCACGTCCAGGAGAGCAGCTGGTTGCCTCTTCCATGGCCTTTTAGAGGATTTCACTCTCATTATGCCTCATGCAAAAACAGTTCCAGAAGGTTCATATAAAAGTCCAGTGCTTCATAGTCCTGGTGTTCTAACTCCAGTCCTTGTTTTGCTGGTTCTGAAACATGTCCTCTGCTTCTGTCCCCATCATGTCACCTCTCTGGGGATGACAACTGTCAAGTTATTAGGAGTAGGTGGAGAGATTAAGTACTGACTGGTTTTATCTAGAACATCACTTGTTTTTATAGATTCATAGAACCATTTGAGTTGGAAAGGACCATTAAAGGCCATCTAGTCCAACCTCCCTGCAATGAACAGAGACACCTAGAGCTCCATCAGGTGCTCAGAGTCCCATTCAGCCTGACCTTGAGCATCTCCAAGGATGGAGCATCCACCACATCTCTGGGCAACTTGTTCCAGTGCTTCACTAAAGACACATTACTTCATGGATTTGGTGCTCACAGGGCACGGATTCAAATCTCGCAGGGCCAGATCCTGTAAGCTTTGTGGGAAAACGCCACAATCACAGAATCATAGAACCATAGAATGGTTTGGGTTGGAAG